CAAGGGTAACAGAAATAATGGGAAGGACAGAATGAGCCCTTGGTTTATCCGAAGGTGTAGGGAGGTAAAAACTAAGTGCTCTAGAGAATGGAAAAAGTACAGAAGGCAAAGGACTCGGGAAAATAAAGAGATTAGTCGACGAGCCAGAAACAAGTATGCACAGATAAGGAGGGAGGCACAGCGGCAGTATGAAAATGACATAGCATTGAAAGTCAAGTCTGTCCCAAAACTACTCTACAACCACATCAGAAGGAAGACAACAGTCAAGGACCAGGTAATCAGGCTGAGGAAAGAAGGTGGGGAGCTCACAAGAAATGACCAGGAGTATGTGAGGAGCTCAACATGAGATTTCAGGAAGTATTTACAGTGGAGGCTGAAGGGACACTGGGAAGACAAAACAGTGGGGTACATCAACAAGGGATATACTAGCAAGTGTTGGATGAATTGCACACAACTGAGGAGGAGGTGGAGAAGCTCCTAAGTGACCTTGATACCTCAAAGGCGGTGGGACTGGACAACATCTCTCCATGGGTCCTTAGAGAGGGAGCAGAGACACTACATGTGCCACTAACCAAAATCTTCAACACTTCCCTTGAAACTGGGCAACTACCTGAAGTATGGAAGAAGGCAAATGTAGTCCCCATCTTTAAGAAAGGAGACAGAAATGAAGCACTAAATTATAGACCAGTGTCACTGACGTGTATAGTTTGCAAAGTCTTGGAAAAGATTATCAGGAGGAGAGTGGTGGAGCACCTGGAGCAGAACAAGATTATAAACGACTGCCAGCACGGATTCATGGAAGTTAAATCCTGTGTCACAAACCTACTAGAGTTTTATGACAAGGTAACTGAAGTAAGAAATGAGGGAGAGGGGTGAGTTGATTGCATTTTCTTGGACTGCAAGAAGGCCTTCGACACAGTTCCTCACAAGAGATTAGTACAGAAGCTAGAGGAACAGACAAATATAACAGGAAGGGCACTGCAATGGATCAGAGAATACCTGAGGTATCACAGTGGGTGCCGGTGATGAGCGGGGTCCCAAAGGGGTCAGTCCTGGGACCAGTGCTATTCTTGGTATATGTGAAAGACATGACGGAAGGGATAGACTCAGAAGTGTCCCTGTTTGCAAATGATGTTAAGTTAATGAGGAGAATTAAATCAGACACAGACCAGACAGGTCTACAAAGAGACCTGGACAGGCTGGATGTGTGGTCCAGAAACTGGCTCCTAGAATTTAACCACCAAATGCAAAGTCATGAAGATAGGAGGAGGGCAAAGAAGACTGCAGAGTATAAGCTAGGAGGCCAAAGGCTGCAAACCTCAAGGAGAAAGACCTAGGGGTGAGTATAATACCGAGTACATCGCCAGAAGCACACATTAACCAGATAACTGCTGCAACATATGGGCACTTGGCAAACCTGAGAATAGCATTCCAGTACCTCTGTAAGGAATCCTTTCAAGACTTTATACACTGTGTACGTCAGGCCCATACTGGAGTACGCTGCACCAGTTTGGAACACACACCTGGTCAAACACATCAAGAAATTAGAGAAAGTGCAAAGGTTTGCAACAAGGTTAGTTCCAGAGCTAAGGGGAATGTCCTATGAAGAAAGGTTAAGGGAAATCGGTCCAACGACGCTGGAGGACTGGAGGGTCAGGGAAGACTTGATAACAACATACAAAATACTGCGTGGAATAAACAAGGTGGACAGAGACACGATGTTCCAGAGATGGGACACAGAAACAAGGGGTCACAATTGGAAGCTGAAGACTCAGATGAGTCAGAGGGATGTTAGGAAGTATTTCTTCAGTCATAGAGTAGTTAGGAAGTGGAATAGTCTGGCAGGCGATGTAGTGGAGGCAGGAACTATACATAGTTTTAAGACAAGGTATGATAAAGTTCATGGAGCAGGGAGAGGGAGGACCTAGCAACGGTCATTGAAGTGGCGGGGCCAGGAGCTGAGTCTCGACCCCTGCAACCACAATTAGGTGAGCATGCATGTGCGCCCCCACACACACACACACACACACACACACACACACACACACACAACACACAACACACACACACAACACACACACACACACACACACACACACACACAAAATACTGCGTGGAATAGACAAGGTGGACAAAGACAGGATGTTCCAGGGAGGGGACACAGAAACAAGAGGCCACAATTGGAAGTTGAAGACACAAATGAGTCAGAGAGATAGTAGGAAGTATTTCTTCAGTCATAGAGTTGTAAGGCAGTGGAATAGCCTAGAAAATGACGTAGTGGAGGCAGGAACCATACACAGTTTTAAGACGAGGTTTGATAAAGCTCATGGAGCGGGGAGAGAGAGGGCCTAGTAGCAACCGGTGAAGAGGCGGGCCAGGAGCTAGGATTCGACCCCTGCAACCACAAATAGGTGAGTAAATAGGTGAGTACACACACACACACACACAATCACACTCACACACACTCTTGCAACCTCAACTGGGTGAGTCCCACACACTCACACACTCTCACACTAACCTCTCTCACACTCACTCTCTCACACTCTCCCTCTCACACTCACTCCTCAAAACTCACTCTCTCACACTCACTCTCTCACACTCACTCTCTCACACTCATTCTCTCACACTCACTCTCACACCACTCCCCTCTTCCCCCCTCCCCACCCTCCCTTCAAAGATTTCGTTGTTGCACAAAAAAAATTGCAGTGGCAACAAGACAAAAAAATGCCTGTCAAACCTCAGTGGAATGACTGACCTCACTAAATCTTGCCACTCTACTTCACAAAAGAGTGTACTGTAATCAATGCCACTACTATATTTCAGCCAGGAAGCATGTGGTAATTTAAGTCTGGGAATTTTTTGACAGTATCTCGTATTCCTCCTCTTTTTTTTTACATTATTTAATTAAGAGGTTCCTGTTATCATTTACCTCAGCCAGTTTATGCCTCTCTGTCTTGCTGTACCATCTATAACAATCTCTCACACTCCTGACAAAACTGTTTTATTTAATTTGCTGTATATATACTGTTTGTAATTTTAAGTCTTTTTTATGAATTCTTAGCAGTCCTGTTTCAGAATAGCACATCGATACCCATCCATAGTTCATTGGTGAGTAGACAAATAAAATATTAATTATATTAGTACAGTAGTTTATCTCATGATTTGAAGGCAATAATTTTTTACAAAGAGCTTGTTTAGTAGTTTTATTGTTTAAGACAGGGGTTCCAAAGGGGGGTAAATTACCCCGGGGGGTAATTTAACCATTTTTGGGGGGTAATGGAGGGGTGACAGAAAAAAGTTATGAATTCTGAAAATCAAGAAAACAATGCGGTACCCGGTATGAGGATTATTGTTAACTTTGTCTTAGTATATAAAGTTGTAAAGTAAACCTATTATAAGTAATAATAAAAATTAAACCAAATAACAATAAACATCAAAAACTAATATACAGTATTAGAAAAGAAGGAATATATAGCTAAGTGTGTGGAAACCCAAAAGTATTTTGACAAGTATGCTTCAGGACAAAAGTCACTCAGTAGCCCAGATCGACCTGTCCAGTACGCGTCACTCACTTCCTGAGGCTGCCCCTATTTCACACTGTCAGTTTATCTGTGAGCATCAGCCGAGGGAGACATAAGCTGGTATGAAGCCAAGATTCCTAAAATAGCTTCAAGTATGCAACTCCATCCATCCCACTGATGTTCTTGACATCTTTGGTAATAGTCATTAGAGATTTCACAATGTTCAAATACATAAATAAAAGAAAATATCTCAATGTTTTAACCCTTTGAGGGTCGACAAGGCCCTCTCCGAAACTCGTTCTCAGGTCGGCCAAATTTAAAAAAAAAAAAAATATTTTCTCTTTTGAAAAGATAGAGAAATCTTTTTCCCGATCATAACGACACCAAAAGTTTGAAATTTGATAGAAAACTTACGGAATTATCTTCGCAAAGTTAGCGGTTCTTGGCGATGGTTTTGGATCGGGCATTTTGCCCACATTGAGCCCCAATTTTCGGCCAATTTCGCTGTACTAGTGACAAAAACATGAATATTTCGCTAGAACTCCATTTTTTTTCTATCGAATGGGGCAAGAAAACCACCATTTATAAATTCAACTATCCCTACAGTGGTCAGAATTTAGCAATTTTGCCAATTCACACAAATTTCAAAAGATCCCAAAATTTGGGAATAGGGTCCAGAATAACAAGAAAGACTTTCCGGCACAAAATGACATTTCCCTAGTCATTAGTCACGTCTCAAGGCCCCCTTATATTTTTTTGCTTTCCACTTTGAATTTTTATTCTCAAAAAAAATAAAGATTTACTGTTATGCAACTACTGCATTAGTGAAAAAAAATGGAAATAAATATAATTGTGCATTTTGTGAAAGAATATTAGCCACCATTACGTGTATTGCACGCTTGGCACGATTTTTTACTTTTGAAGTTTGGTAAAAACGAACATTTCGCTATTTTGAGCTAATTTCAAGGCACCTTTCTTGTAAAACCCGTAAAAAAATCATCTCAATTCATAATATGTCTTCCTTCTTCAAATGAGACCAAGAAAACAAATACAACAATAAATACTTACGAAAATACACTGCAAAGTCGCTGATTTATTAAAAAAAAATGGAAAAAGTTTTTTTTTTCTCATTATGCACCGTGTGCGCAGATTTTTTTTAGACTTTTCACCTGACCCAAACCCATTCTTTCTATGAAGGCCTACCAGCTTTCTCCCACTAGATTTGGGGCGCTAGAATTTTGAGTACTAGTACGTCAAAAACCCCTACGGAAAAACGTACTATACGACGAAAACCCTCAAAGGGGTTTAATTTTTCCATAATATCAATAATAAAAACATTTTGTGAAAAGGGGAAACTTTATGTGGGATGTTTAAATTGGTAAAAAGCTGAAAAAGTTTTGGGGGAAACCCCTGTTTAAGACATACGTGATTGAGTTATAAAAAAGTTTTTTGTAAAAAATTCACTTTTTCTTTTTTTAGGTTTGGTCAATGGGGAAGTTAGAGCACAATTTTTTGTCATGAGAGAAATTACGAGAGCACAAAATAACCCACTAATTACCCCAACTGACCTTTTATGAGAGCCAAGAAAATCATAACCTTATTGGAGTGGCCAATATTTTCCTTGACTGTTTATTTCATGATGTACGGCTAAATTACCACGTGCCCATTATTTCTCAGCAAGGAGAAGTGGCAGGCAGACTGCAGGTAATAGGAATATAAAACTTATGTAACTAACACTTTGATCCCTTGATTGGGTCAGGGATGTTTAATTTTGTGGCATAAATACAGTACAAATATTGTGCTGTCAGTTTGTCAAGAGGTGGATTAACAGATATATTGTCAAGCACCATCATACAGTACTCTTGCAATTTTCTTGCAGACCCACTTTGCTGCAATGAGCTCTGGTTTTGAGTACAAAATATTTTTTAAACCATTTGCATAGCTTTTCTAAATTTTGTCTATCTGTATCAAATATACTGTTGTTTGTCCATTATTTTATTCTTACATTCTGTATTCTATTCTATTCTATATTAATAGCTATTTCACTCTAGTTTGAGGTGTATTGGAGGTTATAGTAGTTGTAGGCCTAATATTCTCTTTTCTTTTTTTGATGTTTCATAGATCTTTCAGAGGAATCTAGCCTATTAGTATCACTAATAGTTTCAGTTTTTATAAACGTGTAGTTTGTTATCCTAGTAGTAAGATGAATATAATAAAGCAAATTTAGTTAGATGTGTTCACCTGGTACACAAGACCAGGTGAACACCTTTTTTTTTTTTTTTTTTTTTTAAAGTGTTCACCTAGTACACAAGACATAAATAGTACTGTAATTGGTCAAGAATGTCACCTGGCTGTCATGAGAGTGACTTGTGTGCACACTTCCTCTCACTCAGCTGCCCAGGAGTGCTGCTGGTATTGTACCCCAATTATTGGCATTCAGCTCTGGATTCATCTAGGGGAAAAATATTTTTTTTTTTTTTTTTTTTTTTTTTTTTACTTATTTTACAGTTCATTAATTTTGAAATGTTAAATTGCCTGATAACTTGTTGCTATGAGTCTTGATTTGATGCTTTTGGACAGTTAACAATTAAATATGATAATTGTTTACCATGATCACGATGACCCTGATCTAAACCTCCATAATCTAGCACACAATCAAAACTTATTGGAAAGTAACTGCCTTTATTACACAGCATCACAAGCCAGCACTATCCTGAACATTGCTCAAAGTCTATCAGTTCTTAACTACAGTATCAGGTCCTTAAGCAAACACTATGATGACCTCCTGGCACTCCTTGAGTCACTAAAGACATCCTTCTCCTGCATTATTCTTACTGAGACCTGGCTTAAACAGGACACAATTGATATCTACCCACTACCAGGATACACAGCAATCCACAACTGCAGACCATACCAAGTTGGGGGTGGTACTGCAATCTATTACTCTAACCATCTATCTTGTATTAGCACTAATTGCTTTAGTGATGAATATGGAGAATACATTTTTGCTAATTTTACTGTAAAAAACCTCAAGACGCCTATAACAATCGGTGCCATATACCGGATACCCCACACAAACATCCCAAACTTCAGTGAGAATCTAAAGTCACTAATAACAAACAGACAAATGAACAAGCACCACCTTCTCTTAGCTGGAGACTTCAATATCAACCTTGGCCTACCAGATGATCAGACTGTAATTGATTTCATCAACAATATGAACATCACACTTCTCATACCAACAATACTAGCCCCCCTTAAATCAGGGATAATCACAGACAGCACTACTGACCACTACCCAACCTTCCTCTTAACAAACATTAGTAAGCCACCACTCGAATGCAACAAAATTTCATTTAGACTCCATGATGAGGCCTCAATAAGGAATTTCACAGCAGACCTAGAGACTGTTGACTGGCCTACAGAATTCTCCAATGCCAATGGTATTGATGATTGGACAGACATTTTTTTTAACAAAGACTATACAACAAACATTGTCTTATAAAAACTAAACAGATCACGAATAAACGGCTTGGTTGCCCATGGCTAACCAGCAGTATTCTGAAATCCATTGATAAGAAACACCAATATGAAAAGCAATGTAGACAGGGCTTAATACACAAAGGTACTCTTAAACAATATTCAACAGTTCTCACCAAATTAATAAAGAAAGCCAAGCAAATGTACTACTCCAGCAGATTCACTGACACAAGAGGAGATATAAAAAAGACCTGGAAAACACTTTCCCAGATTCTGGGGACCCACAAACTGAAAAAAAACAAGAATATTGTTCTAACTAAACCTCATGAAACACCACTGCATCCCACTGATACAGCTAACAAGATAAACGACTTCTTCTCAAACATAGGATCTAATCTCGCCAGTAAAATCCCACGTACCAATGCCCATGCCAGGGACTACCTAGATGGGAATTTCCCAAATTCTTTCTATCTTGTACCAACTGAGCCCACGGAAGTCACCGCGATCACAAAGTCACTTAAAAATAAATCGGGGAATCTGTCTCACGTCCCACCATTATTGTACAAGCGAGCGGCCCATGTCCTTTCGCATGCTATTATATTACTTTTTAACAAGTTATTAGAAACTAGCACTTTCCCGACACTACTCAAGACAGCAAGGGTTACACCAATACATAAAGGTGGTGACCCTACAGACGTAAACAACTATAGGCAATATCAAACTTACCATTTCTATCCAAAATCTTCGAGAAACTTGTGCACAGGAGACTATATTCATTTATAACATCACAAAACATACTCAACCACTGCCAATTTGGATTCAGGAAAAATAAAAGCACTAATGATGTAATTATAAAAATGCTAGACCTGCTTTACACAGCATTGGAAAATAAGGAATATCCCCAGGAATTTTTATTGACCTAAGAAAAGCGTTTGACACAGTAGACCACGGCATCCTACTCCACAAACTTGACCACTATGGTATAAGAGGCCATGCTCTTGCATATTTTAAATCCTACCTTTCTAATAGGTATCAGTATGTCACCATTAAAGACACAGCCTCATCAATATGGCCACTTGATACTGGAGTTCCGTAGGGAAGTGTCTTTGGACCCCTGCTCTTCCTCATTTACATCAATGATCTTCCAAACATATCCCAACACCTGAAACCCATTCTCTTTGCTGACGACAGGACTTATGTCATCTCCCACCCTAATCTTGCCACCCTCAACACCATTGTTAACGAGGAGCTGCTCAAAATATCGACTTGGATGACAGCCAATAAACTTACACTAAACACTGACAAAACCTACTATATTATGTTTGGTAGCAGAGCAGGTGTTGCGCAACTTAACATTAAGATCGACAACACTCTAATTGCCAGACATAATGAGGGCAAATTCCTTGGCCTATACCTCGACAACAACCTAAATTTCAGCACCCATATCCAACACATAACAAAAAAAGTATCCAAAACGGTGGGTATCCTCTCCAAGATACGATACTACGTGCCGCAAACTGCCCTTCTCACACTATACCATTCACTTATATATCCATACCTCACCTATGCTATCTGTGCTTGGGGTTCAACTGCAGCAACACACCTAAAGCCAATAATAATCCAACAAAAAGCCGCAGTAAGAATAATCACTAAATCCCATCCCTGGCAACACAGCCCCCCACTCTTCATAGATCTAAACTTACTCCCTGTTCAGAACATCCACACTTACTACTGTGCAATCTATATATACAGGACCTTAAATTCCAATATTAACCTTGACATAAAATGCTTTCTGATAGTTGTGACAGGATCCACAGGCATAACACCAGACACAAACATCTCTATGACATTCCCCGGGTTTGACTAAACCTTTACAAAATTTCAATGTATTTCAAAGGACCTAAAATCTGGAACACCCTACCTGAAAACTCTAGAACTGCAGACACATTCATCACTTTCAAAACTACAGTTAGAAAACATCTTATCTCCCTGATACACCCCGACAACTAACTACATGATAACCACCTGGTGGTTCACAATTACACTCACTCACCCACTGGCTATAAACTCAGAAATACTAATCTTAATCTTAAAATAATAAATCCTAACTAGTCATAAGTTTGCCTATGATACTCCAATATAGACACTTTGTATTGTGCCAAATCAAAAACATTCACATTGCTAAACTTACAAATTATGATGTAGTCACTGAGCCTTAATACCATAATCTGTAAGGATTTAATGTTAAGAATTAATCTAAGTCTGCCCGAAATGCCTAGCCATGCTAGGTGTCCTAGTGGCCCCCCTCTGTAATTAGTATTTTATAACATGTAAACCACACAATACCCAAAACCTGTAAACCCCACATTGTAACCTTTATAGAGAATAAACTTGAATTGAATTGAATTGAATCATGATTCCCAAATTTATTGTTCATGTCCCCTTAGAGACCGTATATACAAGCAAACAATTAGTAATTGCCCTTTTAGTCTTAAGCTAGGTTTAAGTTTGCTTGAAATGCTCTGCATAAAAATGGGGTTTCTGCATACACTTAAATGTCACCAGACTCTGTACAAACATTGTATCATGCTGAAATAAACAGCCCAGGTGTGGTTCTTTCAATTTTCTTAATTCACTTTTATATAAAAATTGTATATCACACTCCTCAACAATGGCTAGAACATTGGTCACATTTTATATGCAAAAAGTGTTACATATCATTGGTAACCCTGTATGAAAATGAAATTTGATGTTGGCATAACAAAATATTGTATGCCAGTTTTATTTAATTTATGTTACTAGAGTATAATAACTTATTTTACAGGTTGAAATTAGTCGAATATCTGGCCAGTTTCCTCAAGAAAGATTTGCAGACACACTTTCTGAATCATCTGGTGATTCTGGTCACAGCAGAGAGGAAGATGATATTCAGAATAGCACTGTATCAGTTAGAGTAAGTGTTAACTTATTTCCTCTCTTTTTTATTAGCTTTTGCTTTTATTTTAAAATTTGTCTATAAGACTAAACAACTTTATTTACATTTTGGAATAATTTTTTTGAAAAGCATTACACTATGATTTGTAGAGTGCCAATGCATACACAGCATTTTGAACATAAACAAGGGGTAAAGGAGGTTTTGTGTGCAAGGGGCTTAGACATACAGCAGGCATGTGTAAGCGTGTTAGATAGGAGTGAATGGAGATGAATGGTTTTTGGGACTTGACAAGTTGTTGAAGTGTGAGCAGGGAAATATATTGTGAAGGAATTCAGGGAAACCAGTTAGCTGGACTTGAGTCCTGGAGGTAGGAAGTACAATGCCTGCACTTTAACCCTTTCAGGGTCCGTCCCGTAGATCTACGGCTTTACGTTCAGGGTCCAAACCGTAGATCTACGTCATGAGCTCAGCTCACTCTGATAAACTGTGAGTGGTACATTTGGGCCTAGATATGAGAGAATACATCTATGTGGTATGTGTGCACCACATAAAACAGATCCTGCAGCACACTGTGTATAAGGAGAGAAAAAAACTGAAATCATGATTTTTCGATTAAAACAGCGACTTTGCAGCAGTGTTTTTTGTATGTTTTTTATAGTTGTATTTGCGATTTCTTGGTCTCATTTGATAGAATGGAAGACATATTACAGAAATAGAGATGATTTTGATTGGTTTTAGCACTGGAAATGGCTTGAAACTGAGTTCAAAGTAGCAGAAATGTTAAATTTTTGCCGATATTCGAGAGTAAACAAACGACCTCACACATCTAATACACTCCAGCTGGTGGGTCTAATATACATTCACAAATATGGTGATGATATTTATATAATTATTACAGTATTGCATAACAGTAAATCTTCTATTTTTTGGTGTGAATAAAAATTCATTATGTGAATAAAAAATCAAAATGGAATTTATTTGTAAAGCCTCAAAACGTAACTAATGAACAGAGGAAATGTTAGTTTAGTTCCAGGAATACCTACATTGTTTTTTCTGGACCCCATTTGAAATTGAAATATTTTGAACTTTGTGTTAAATTGGCCAAATTAACAATTTCCGATCACTTTATTTTGTAGTTGAAACAGTTGACTTGGCGATTTCTTGTGCTCAATCGATAGAATAGAAGTAATACTAGTGAAATAGCTAAGAATTTGGTTGACTGGAATAATGTAATTGGCCTAAACTGGGAGTCAAAGTCGGCAAAATTGCCGATTCATAAATATCGCTGACACATCAAAATTCGCGAGAGCATAATTTCGTCAATTTTCCATCAAATTTCGTACTTTTTGTTTTATTACCTTCACAAAAAGATTATCTACCATTTCATAAGAAAAAATAACAAATTTTTTTTTTTTGAAAATTCTTGGACACTGGGGCACCACTTCAGATTTGGGCCTTGGACCCTGAAGGGGTTAAAGGAGGGGTTTGGTATATTTGCTGTGTAGAGTGACATCTAAACTGTTGTATCTATGCACCTCTGGCAAGAAAGTGATAGTGTGAATGATGGTGTAAATATTTCTTCTTTAGGTCACCCTGCCTTGGTGGGAGATAGCCAGCAAGTTAAAAAAAATGAAAGTACACAAAATGATAATACTCATCTAATGAATGTAATTTTTTTAACATGCCAGCATTCTCCCACTGAGGTAGGTGACCTGAGACAGAAGAAACACTATTGCCATCACTCATTCTACCACTGTCTTGCCATTGGAATGCTGACATTACAGCTCATATGCCCTTCCACACTGCAATATCCCCACACCTCTTTTAGAGCATATTTCCTACCTCCAGGACTCGAGTCTGGCAAACCAGTTTTCTCAGATCCTTTCATAATTCCCATGAAATAATAAGAACAATCCCTCAAAAGCTTTATAAGCATGAAAACAACTACAGAGTATCAGAAATGCAACAAGAAACTAATTCTGGAGAGAATAGCCTCAGTGTTCACTGGGATTACTTTTCTGGAAACCCCATGATTAACCTTTTCACTGTCATGGCCCTCAAAATTAAAAGTACTGAGTGTTGAGATCTTTCAAAAGGAAAAAATAATAATTTTATCTTCAGAAATGGTAGAGAATTTTTTTTGAAGGTAATGTCACCAAAAATGCAAAATTTGATGGAAACTTATGGAATTACTCAGGCATGAAGTTGGCAGTCTAGGCAGTTTACACATCAACATTTTCACCCACTTTGAGGCCTATTTTAGGCCAATTCCTCTTCTCAAATTGATCCAATTTTTGCCTACTTCACTAGTATGCTGGAGTGACAAGCTCCTCAAGACTGGGGGAGTGGCAAGCTCCTCAAGACTGTGGGAGTGGCAAGCTCCTCAAGACTGTGGGAGTGGCAGGCTCCTCAAGACTGTGGGAGTGGCAGGCTCTTCAAGATTGTATGAGTGGCAGGCTCCTCAAGTTTGCGGGAGTGGTAAGCTCCTCAAGACTGTGGTAGTAGCAGGCTCCTCAAGACTGTGGTAGTAGCAGGCTCCTCAAGACTGTGGTAGTAGCAGGCTCCTCAAACTGTGGTAGTAGCAGGCTCTTCAAGACTGTGGTAGTAGCAGGCTCCTCAAGACTGTGGGAGTGTATATATTTTGGTAGAGTTACCGACAATATGTGAAGTAAAAGGACACAAGTGCAACTAATGTGACATTTTATTGTGTCATCCTTTCACTCTCCAGGAGCTTTGTCAAGCATGGAGAGCAAAATGTTGCCACAATAAAATGTCACATTAGTTACACTTGTGTCCTTTTACTTTACACTGTGGGAGTGACAAGCTTCTCAAGACTGTGGGAGTGGCAGGCTCCTCAAGACTGTGGGAGTGGCAGGCTCCTCAAGACTGTGGGAGTGGCAGGCTCCTCAAGACTGTGGGAGTGGCAGGCTCCTCAAGACTGTGGGAGTGGCAGGCTCCTCAAGACTGTGGGAGTGGCAGGCTCCTCAAGACTGTGGGAGTGGCAGGCTCCTCAAGACTGTGGGAGTGACCAGCTCCTCAAGACTGTGGGAGTGACCAGCTCCTCAAGACTGTGGGAGTGACCAGCTCCTCAAGACTGGGAGTGGCAGGCTCCTCAAGACTGTGGTAGTGGCAGCTCCTCAACTGTGGAGGGCAGCTCCTCAAGACTGTGGAGTGGCAGGCTCCTCAAGACTGTGGATGTGCAACTCTCTCAAGACTGTGGTAGTGGCAGGCTCCTCAAGACTGGGAGTGGCAGGCTCCTCAAGACTGTGGTAGTGGCAGGCTCTTCAAGACTGTGGGAGTGGCAAGCTCCTCAAGACTGTGGGAGTGGCATGCTCCTCAAGACTGTGGGAGTGGCAGGCTCCTCAAGACTGTGGGAGTGGCAGGCTCCTCAAGACTGTGAGAGTGGCAGGCTTCTCAAGACTGTGGGAGTGGCAAGCTCCTTAAGACTGTGGCAGTGGCAAGCTCTTCCAGACTGGAAGTGGTGAGCTCCTCAAGACTGGAAGCGATGAGTTCCTCAAGACTGGGAAAGGTGAGCTCCTCAAGACTGGGAGTGGCGAACTCCTCAAGACTGGGAGTGGTGGGCTCCTCAAGACTGAGAGTGGTGAGCTCTTCAGCCTCCCTATAAAGTGCTAGAAATTGGTAACTTGGACAATTTTACATCAAATTTAAGAAATTCTAATGTCTAACCAGTCCAAAATATGGCCTGGTCATGGACTAGGCCATGGGGACATTGACCCCCAGAACACCCTCCAGGTATACTCCAGGTATACACAAAAAAATTGATATTTGCCTTTTTCTCTCAGCTAATAAAATATAATAAAAAAAGTTTGGTCATGGTTTAGGCTGTCTCAGTAATTGAAGCAGATCTATCAAAAAACTATAAACAGACCAGTGGGGAGGTGTCCATAACCTTTCTCAGGAAATTTACCAAAAATCAAATATTTTCACTACTTTGAGGCCTGTTTCAGGCTGCTTGCTGTCTGAAAGTTACCAAAATCATCTGATTTTAGTAGTATGTCTCTAGCTATAAGTGATGCCATAAACACTCAAAGTTGCTATTCTATCCCAAATATGAGGTCGAAGTTCTTTTCAACTATGAGCACAGTGGGAGGTTTCTACCTCTATGAAACTACCAAAGAATGGAAATATTTTCATCAATTTAGACATTTTAACTGTTAACAGTCAAATTAAGCCGAGTCATGATTAAGATGGTAGTTACATTGGACCCAGAACACCCTCACAGTTGATCTACCAGTATGAAACAGAAAATGAGCTTTTTCTACTATGAAAAATTAAAAAGTTTTCATGTTAGCCTTACAAACAGTAATTGAAGGACACAATATGATAACAACATGAGTGTACCAACCTCCAGGATATACAAAGATCAATATTCACTATAGGCCTGTAGTAGCTGCCAAAGTTTATAAACATCATGTAGATATGATTTAGCTACTGACCTGACCCTCAATTGCTTATTAGAGTCATTACCATTCACAGTACCACTGGACTTTTATTATGTGTAACCACACCAATGAATGTCTAGACATATACTATTGAATTGCAGCCCTCATGTTTGTGGGACATTACCATCAGTGTCACAATACACTATGACAATCTACCCTCTTGGTTGTGTAGACATCAGCAAACATTAATGTGCGTGTCTTTTTTCCAGTGATCAAATACAGCTCCCCTCACTTAGTGACATACAGTGGACCCAGTTAAACGATGTCCACATTGGTAACGACAAAATTCAGATATGATACTATTTTGCGTCAAATTGTTGGACTCATTGTAAATACATATTGAATCCCTTTGGTTTGTACCGAACATAATGCTGTGCTCCTTCATGGCCAGCCACTCCTCATTAGCGACAAAGTGGCCATATTTTAAAGCATTGAGAACGTAATCAGATAATGATACTTTTGTAATATTTGTGCAGTTAATGCAAAAAGCCAAGCCTTTGGCCCAAAAGTCCTCTAGTGTCATGGCCCTCCTGTAAAGATGTGCCAAGATTACGA